TGTGGTTTATGTTTTATTTAAGGAAGTGAATGTAATGCACCTTTTGATTTCAAGAGAGAAAGGAACACAGATTTTCCAAACAAAGGGGGAAAGTCATGCAATTTAAAGATCTTACTAAAGAGGGAACTCCAATTTACTTAATATATATTTATACAGCATCAAAAATTGCAAAAATGTGCGTGGTGACAAATGACAAATACCTGGAGAACTGACTGTGAGAAAAGTATGGAAATAGAAGTTTTCAACATCTTCCAGGGATTGTTTCCACAGTATTTCCTTGTTGCAGGCCTCCATATATCACTTAGTGATATCCTTGACAAGAAAGTAGGCCTGGATGGACAATTCTATCGCTCGGTCATCTCACAAGGTGATGTTTCAATTAACTTACACCTAAAACTCGCAAATTAAAAAATTTACTAAGCACATAATCTAACTTGCCATGAAAAACTCTATATGACATCAAGACAGTTGTATGTTATTCCGCAGATATTTTATCTTTCCATTTACATCAGATCTATTATACTGCTTCAGTTTTATGTGCAATCCACACCAATTATGGTCCCTAATTGACAAAACAAAGCTAAAAAAAATGATAAAAACTAAATCCGCTTAATCTTTTAAAATTTTGTGATTCACAAATCTGTACAATCCAGCTGTCCTCTGCTGAGCTAGTGGGGATTTGAGCACAAACATCTAGGAGTCAGCCTCCGATGTTGATCGAGGTTGAAAGCATCACCATTCAAATAGAGTTTATGTCAACCTAGAAGCTGTGAGGTAAATATCATGTCATCAAAGAAGCTGTCTGCGTTTGACGTGGATCAAATTCTTGGCACTCATGTCAATGCTCCAACAGTATGAATGGAATTTTTATGAACAAAAACTATCAAATTTAAACATTTGATGTTTGTTGAATACTTCTTAAATGTTTTAAGACATACTGGGCATATTTGGCACTTCTTAGTGTTTTCATACCAATATATCAATACTTACATAGTTTGTATATATCTAAACTAAATGTCCGAGCTGCATCCAATCCTCATATGTCATTCTGTCTCTGCTTCATTTCATCTATCTTGTATGTATGCTTAATAGCCTAAAATTATCACAGCATCTAGCAGAAATGAAACATGCATGTTTCACGGAGAAATAAAAGGATTGAGATAATGTGTGAATAAGAAAAGCATCTAGAAGAGCTAAATAAGTAAAAATTTTATGAAGAGCAAACAAACCTCAAGTAAGGTTCAAGAGAATTGGCATCATTGTCAACCTCGAAAGTTGTTTCAGGTGTTGGGGCGATAAGTCCAATCCAAGAAAGCAACCTCCTCAAGAGCTTTTCACGGGGACCAACTGCCGACAAAATCCCTTCATATCGAGCTACCGCCTTCTGTGCTGCCAGCTCAATGGGGAGTTCTCCATTATTAAACTCGTTTAACCATTGTTGCTCATCTGAAGCGCTGCCATTATAAAGTAACGACTTCTGAAATGCTGACACTTCATTTAGCCAAAGCTTCAATCTTTCTGTCCACTTCTGTACTTCTGGTTTCTGACTTGCATTTTTGTAAAGCTGCATAAGAAGAGTACAAAACATGTTACAAATGACATTTAAGGAAATTAAACTTGACAAAACTTTCACATGTGTCAAAGGGAATTTATTATTTTCTATATTTGACAAGCTAGACTAGACGAATATATTTTTCTGTTGGCCAAAAGAGGGAAAAAGAATATCATTTGTCAGCAAAATGAGTGGAGACGTCCTCTTTCCATGCTTGAAAAATGACATCTGAATAAATATCTACATATGTCAGTGGTGGAAAAGCTAAATGATGGAACTGCCACAAAACAATGACCTCACTTATCCAAGTGCCAAGTCTCCCTAAAGGTTTTGATACAACAAAGAAGATTCTTCGCAGAAGTTTAGACTGAAGATAATCCAGTTTTTCAACAATTAATGGGCCCTTCTGCTTCTCAGTTGCATATCCCCGCCTGCAATAGAAAACGGTGATATGTTATTCTTGCATAAACAGAAGGAATACGCTAAATTTTGCGAATTATTTTTATCTCAAACATTACTTGAATACAGAAACTTTATTTTACCAGGATATAGATATTAAAATTCATATTGATTACATCCATACTGATTAAATCCACTCCCACCTAAAAAGAACAGATTATAGAATGGTTCTTCATTTAAAGCAAAAATGATATATCTATTTATATATGGTATCGTGGATTGAAGATCAATCTCTTGAGATTTTAAAATTCAATATGAAATAGAAACATCCACATATTCACGGAACTACCTAAATATTATGGCATTTGACTCGTATGCTTTGTTCCAATCAATGTATATTGGCAAATTAAGAAGATAGTCTGTGTTCAAAGCAGATGTTAACATCAGATCCCTAGCTGATAGTTCTTCAAATTGAGCATCCGAAAGAAGTTGCATGAAAGCACGCTGGAATCGAGAAGCAACAGTAATTCTGCAAACAAAGAAAACAAAACTGCAAATAAAAATTGAAGAGAAGACAAGAATAGCAGTAAAATGGATTTCCCCTTTTCTTTTAAACACAAATTAGTATCCTGATATAACAATTTATGCTGCAACAGCGTTCGTCTCATGAACCCAGGGCATTACCTCCTTGTATTGATTCATTCTGAAAAACAAGATCAACATCTATTTCTAGCAAGTTCATTTTCTTCCTTTAAGCAATGATTTTGTTAATTGGGCTTTCCTATTCAATGTAGTTGCTTTCCAGAGGGAAGGATCAAGAAAAGATCTAACAGCGCCTGATTGAAAACTAGAAGTACCCAATTTAAAAATCAAAAATTGAAAGATGGAAATGAAATTTTGGGGATCTAGAAGAACCGTAGAACAAAGACAGCTGATCCTTCCAAGATTTTGCGAAAGTTCAACAGCACACCACTGAAGTCCTAATATAATCTTTTCTCCCAAATGACATGTTTCCAACAATGCTATTGAACAGAAAACTAAAGGATCATATATGATTTCAAATTTTGTTAAAAGCAATTCTTGCACCATATTAGGAGAATTATCAAACTCTTAGAGGAGTACCTGGACCCTGTATTAGAATCCTTCTTGCTATTTTTCTCCAGAGAACGTAAAAGACTTCTCAGGTCTAGACCATTGTTGAAAAAAGGCATTTGCCATTCAGCTTCATCAACCATATCCTGATAGGCCTCACTGTCCTCAATTCCAAGGATTCTCCCACCGTTAATTCCATCAGACTCATAACCATTCTCCACGTCTTCCATTTCTGAATCAGCTGAACTGGGTGGACTGAAGCACTCGGTTTCCGCTGAATTGCTGACCTGATAATCAGAACGCATCTCTTCTAAAATCCTTTTGTGCTCAGCGTGAAGTATAGAGTCTAAGCATCTGCAGTTATGCCAAAGAGCAAAGAGGCACGTAATGAGAAAATGGGGACCAAGCAGATCACATATATATTAGCAAAAAGATATTGATTGCAGAGTTCAGTTACCTATCTCACTCCACCTCAGAGAATCATATGGGAGGAGCAAAACATCAACATATAATATAACATCAAATGTATAGAAAGCCAACTATAAACAATGTTCACATGAGGCATAGGAGAAGTAATTGCTTTTCTATTTGACCCAAACATGCAAGAAGTCTCCAAGTTAGTTAACTTATAGTTGTTTAGATATTCTATAAAGGCTATTTATTTTATCACCATTCAATCATAGACATGACATGCCTAAAGGCATCTAGAAGTCGCACCAGCGTGTACATGACATGCCCGCGCGTGCGTGCGTGCGTGTGTAAATATATATAATGATGACGAGAGGAAAAAGAGGGGGAGAGGGCAGTGGAAAATAATAGCATAATGGTTCCGACATGAAGGGATAATCTTACGAGGCAAGGCGGCGAAAGTGATGAATATCATCTTGGTCGTCAGATTTAAACATCATAGAAATGATAGCATCTAAAAGGTCTGACTTGGAAACAGGTATATATTTCGGCCTGGGCACTTGTAATTTAGAGATCCCCAATTCCTCATCCTCATCCTCATCCTCATCGTGGTGTTGTGTGTGTTTGCCTTTCTGGTTCTGGTTCTTGCCCTGCTTGACCTGTGTCTCCGTCACCTGTTGAGTAGAGAAGTTTTTGGGCTCTAAGGGGAGTACGGACATGTCCCTGAGGCCAGTGGCTGAACAAGAAGGAACCCTGGAGATGCTCATAGAAGTAGTAACACGGAAGTGAAACAATGCCTGTGATTGCGGAATCGGAAGAGCGTTGCCTACAGTACTCGTAAGACCTTGCCAACATACTGACATGTTCTGAAGACCTTGAACCAAAAAGAAGAAGAAGAAGAAGAATGGTGCTGAAACTGGTAAAGAGTTGAACCAGATCAGATGCCTCTCCGCCCTAGAATCCCCAGATTAACGGCACGAATAATGTACAATTGGATAAGGAAAATTGAAGTTGAAATCTCCACAAATGGTCGGTTGGTTTCCTTGTTACAGATAATCCCTCCTTTTCATGTACTGGTTTCCATCGATCGAGCCGATGATTTTTGGACGGTCGTCAAAATTATGAAAAACCATGTGGCTGGCTTTTTAATATTTCTGGTTTCGCTGATCAAGGATAATCCAAAACTTACTATGATCACATCTTTACCTACGCTTTCACATTTTAGTTAGTCCGGAAACGTAAAAATATGCAAGAAAGTCAATTATTTGGAATTCGTTACCCTTCGAAACAGAGAAATTATTATCCCTCTCCGTTTGTCCTGGCTAGATCCGAAGACGGAAAAAATTAATTAGAAAAACATGCAGTAATTTGCAAATTCTTCTCCCAGGAATTTACCCGTTTTTAATGAGATCGTGAATTCGCGATTCGTGGGCTTGTTCGCGCCACAAGGTTCACAAAAAGTTTCTTTTTTTCTTTTTTTTCTTTTTTTCCGAAGACAAAGTTTAAATTTTTCTGATGTAACCTAATTCCCCCTCCCCCGTCGTGTTGCTGTTATCTATCGTCGTTTTTGCTCTTTCTTTGTTTGTTCTCAGGCCCTCGGCATCGCAGGTCTCTAACCCCCATCCAAAATTTTGGAGATTTCATTTCTGTGTTCCCTCATGAATCTACCTCATTTACGAACATCTATCTCTCTAAATCCTGTGAATCATCACAATCGGTTATTCTCGCCGGTGACATGCTATTTCCGACGCCAAACACCTCCGAAGCAACCAATGTCGCCGCAAATAATCCCAGCAAGAGACAGAGTCATAGATTTTGGAAAATACAAAGGCAAGATGCTAGGAAGCCTCCCGTCCAGCTACCTCAAATGGGTCTCGAAGAATTTGCGCGCACGCGACTTCGAGGAGTGGGCAAAGTTAGCAGACCAAGTTCTGCAAGACCCAACTTACAAAGACCGAATCGAGTGGGAGTTCGCAGAGAATGTGTTGAACGGTAATCGATCCAGGGCCGTGTCTTCTCCGAGAGCCGGTGACATCAGTCCTGTTTCCGAACTGTTAGAGATAAGCGAGAGGTTCGGTTGGGACAACAATGACAAGGCCGGTTGGGGCAAAATCAACTTCGAGCTTCTTGGAACGTCCAAGGGTGGTAGAATTCCGAGAATAGAGAGAAAGGAAGAGGGAGGCGATGAGACGATGATGAAACAGAGAGAGCGAAGGTTGGAGGTTCAATCGGAAGTCGCAGAGAGGAGGAAGGAGAGAAGAGAGAGGCAGAAGAAGAAGACGAAGACAAGGGAGGAGGGTCGAATTCCGAGAGTGTGGCAGGAAACTGAGAGAAGTAACACGGCAATGAAGGAAGAGAAGAGAGCTAGCTTTGTAAATGGAATCGACGGTGATAGTGACGGCGACGGCGTAATATATCGGTCCCAGATAGAGACGGAGCGCAACGGCAATCCTTTCCCTGGACGAGAAGCCCTTCTGAGGAAGGTGGCAAACGGCCGACGATTTACTCCCTAACTCGCGAAGTCGTAAATTCGTAATTTTCCGGTTAGCTTTAGTGGCCTGTAGGGCATGTGCGGTAAAAGGAACTGGTTAGCATGAAAAGTGCAAGGAAACAGAAAGGAATGAAACAGAAAATTTCTTAGTGGTACATGTGTGGGAAGTGCTGAATATGAATGATGAAAATTTTTTTGTTTAATTAGATAAAAATGAGTTGAAAAAGTCGTGTAATTTTATTATGTTACCGTTAATGAAGAAATACAATATTATTAAATAAAAAATACTTTTTAACTTTTAATAATATTATTAAAAATTTGGGTCAATTTGGATTTTCATATTAAAAAATTATCACATTCACTCCATTGAAATTGGGAAAACTAATTTAGAGATCCTTATAGTTTACTTCACTTTTGAATTAGGTCTCTAGGCTTTTTTTCCTTTTTATAGAGTTTTTTAATTTTACATTATTAGATCCGTTAGTCTCTCAAATTAAAAACTGTTAAATAAACATTGACAGTGTCACTGTTACCATTAAATAATTTTATTATATGTTTTTTTTAATTTCCCCATGGTAAATTTTTCAGATTCACTCTGAACTCAAGTAAGGTGCTATAGTGTATGCTCCGCTCCCTAGGCAATCTCTGCCATTTCATCTCCCCCGGTCATCTACAATATCGCATTCGTACTGCCTCCTTTTGATAAAACAATATGATCGCCATTTACTTCCTCCATATAGCTACCTTACCTTTTGATCATGATCTCGTCGTCGAAGAAATGGACTTTCTGGCAAATTATTTTCCTCTCTCGAGCTAACCTTCCTCCAGTTTCTTCTGAAAGCCTTGAGCTCAAAGCCATTTTCTTCTTCTCTCACCTACTCTACAGGGTATTCCATGCTTATTCTATGCTTGCAGGAAAGCAAAGATTTCTCGCTCCTGCCCAAATTCCAATGAAGTTTTCCATCTCGCTTTGGTGATGAGTTGCGATTTCAAACGGTGAAAATTTTGCTTGATTCTTTGACTTTGTTTATGTATTTTCTGCAGCTAACAGGAATGGTAGTGGTGACTGTAGTTTTCTTGTTTTAGTAGCCTCCTTGAGTTTTCTGGAAAAGAAAAGAATTTTATCAGTTTGATTTACGCTATGTGAATTTGGGTTCCACTTGTAATTGTGACATGCCCTTTTTTTTCCCCACGATAAATTCATATTCATTTAAGTTCTGAAAATGGAGTAAAACTGCACAAATTTAGTACTTCTCTCAGCCACACCTTCGATTAAGATCAACCCATTAATCTAGATTTCTTGAAAGCTCAGGAAAGCGGTGGTTTGAAATCATTCAGCAAAGCTAGTGTTGAAGTTGTGGTTGAGAAGGTTGTTCATCTTTGACAAGCAATCTCCAAGTGTGTTGAGGAATCTCTGACTGGAGAAACTCGTCGCCACCAATGAATACTTGTCAAACAAAGATGGAGGATGATCGGAGTTCGAGCTAAGTTCACTTTGCTTGCCGAAAATGGTGCAGAATTTCAATGAGACAAACGAGAAGTAGCCGCCGGTGGATAGATGCAGCCATAATCACTGTAATTGCTTCAATAGCAGAACAAAGGAGGAATGAACGAAGATATTGAGCAATGAACAAAGAATGAACAACGAATTAGGGAGGAGAGTTTTGTTCTGAAACTTTTTGGGGTTACAGGGAAGGAGATAGGTAATGACAGTTTTAACGCCGTTAGTGTTTACTTACGGCAGGGTCTAACAAATCTAACTATGTAAAATTAAAGGATCCAATAAAAAAGAAAAAATATATAGGGACTTGATTCAAAACTAAGACAAACTATAAGGACTTTCAAATTAGTTTTCCCGTTGAAATTTTACTCTTTTTTTTTTGGCTCTTTGATACTTTAGGGAGCCACGTTCCTATGACGATTTGTTGCCTTCGAATAATTTTGAGATAATATCAAATTCAACGCAGTCTATCGAGAGTGATGAGTGAGAAACGTAGTGAGAGAAACAATATGCAACCAAGTGATTCCTTCGAGCATGGCGAGCAACCAATGGACAATTTTGAATCAACTAAGGAGGAGGATGAGATTAAGGGACGCAATATTAAGAAAATGGAGGGAGATAAAATAAATGTTGATACGAATGGAGAGAAATCGGAAGTGAGGATGCCACGGCCTTCGCAGAACCAGGAAAACAGAGCATCTCTTAGTGGTGATAGTGGGGCACAGGGGTCGAAACCAGAGATCAAAAATAGTGAAAAATCCCAAATTTCTTACAAAGCTAAACTAATAGGGAAGGAAGAAACCCCAATACAAGTACAGGATTTGAATAAGCTCATGAATGATTGGTTGAAGGAAGAAGAAGAAGCAGCTCCTAACTTATCTGAAGAGCAGAAAAAACTATACGATAGTCTCCCAAGACTTAATATCAGTGATGAACAATGGAAAGAACTATGCCTACCTTGCATAGACTCTGTTATCATCACTCTGTTAGAAAGGAGAATGAGTCTGGAGATGATGAAAAACAGAGTGGGATGGATGCTAAAAATTCAAACTTTGAGCTCATTAACTTACCGAATGGGTACTTTATCTTCCGTTCTGAGGACAAATATCCGTGCAACTGTTTGCTTTTTGAAGGCCCCTGAGTAATTCAAGGTCATTACTTAGCAGCTCAGCAATGGAACCCAAACTTCAACCCGTATTGTAGCAAAGTAAGAAAAGTAGCAATATGGATTCGAATACCAACTTTACCTATCCATGTGTATGCAGAAGATTGTATTTGGGAACTGGGGAACATGATAGGAAAAGCTCTTAAGGTTGATATGAACACCTTAGCCCACTGTCAGAATCGAAAGAATATTGTTGAAAGGGGAAAATACGCTAGAGTTAGTGTGGAAATCGACCTAAACAAGAAACTACATCACGTTTTGTCTTGAGGAGAATGATTTACAATGTAGGGTATGAAGGTTTGGATCTTATTTGCTTCAAGTGTGGATGCTATGGGCATAACCAGGAAAAATGCTCTGCCAACGCTCTCATTGCCGAGCAAAGCCAACCACAAACCATAATGAATATGCCAACCATGAGCAGTGCACCGGAAAATGATAATTAGAGGGGATCTTAACCGGAGAAGAAGCCCTTGTTTAGCAAACCAGGTATTAACCTGGAGGAGGAATATGGTGATTGGATAAAAGCAAAAAGGACCTTCAGACAAAGATAAGTGAGAGGCGAAACAGATAGTAGGGATCAGATGAGGTACGGAAGTGGAAAAAAGATAGTAGGAAAAGAGGAGAAAGGTACATCTTCTAGCCGATATGGAGTGCTCCATGAGTCCTCCAAGGATGACCCTCATGCTGAGGCAAACCAAACTAGTAACAGAAAGGATAAGGCGAAAGTTTTGCAGAAGAAAGTTGTGCCATCTGATCCTAAGAAGAAAGAAGTGTCTGTGGAAGGTAGTAAGAAAGGGAAGGAAAATAGGGTCTTTGTGTTTAAAAGATAGGGGAAAACGACGGCAGTAAGGGAAAAAAACAAAGTGAATTTAGTTAAAAGTAAATCATTTGAACAAGGTGGACTTAATAGCTTAAATGGCCAGACAAATGAAGTAAGCCCAATTGAAGGAAAAAAGGAGGGAGTCAAGAGAAGGGCACTGGTGGGCTAAAAAAGACACCAAAATTCCAGACCCAAAATTATTTCCCCAATAATGAAAAAGAAACAGCATGCACGAGCCCATCAGCTAGTGTTTGGGTCACTATCTACCAAAGTGCAAATGGACTTAAATGCACAATTTGAGGAGAACACACAGCAAAATGGAGAGTCTGCAAAGATGTTACAGAATGCGGCATAAAGTAGAGTTGAGAGTGGGTGCCATACAACTGATCAAAGACAAAAGGAGTTAGAGAATGAATTGGTTTCAACTCCAAGAAGACCCCAGACCCACTAGAATTATTACAAAAGGCGTCCTGGGAAAATGAAGAAAATGAGAATAATGATTTGTGGTTTGAAACTAGAGATAATAGGGCAGAGGAATTGGTGGGGCATGAAAATACCATGGAGTAGGAAACCCATTGAGATGCGGCACTGCTCTCTCTATCTTAATTCCTTTTATTATGAATATCATTTCCTGGAACTGCAGAGGCACTGCCTCTAAAACTTTCCCTGAAAGGATCATAGATTTAAATAGAGGAAAAGATATCGATGACAAACTCAATTATTTTTATATATTTTGATATCTTTTATATGGGTTTTGTCAACTTAATTAGTCCTTTTTGACTTTAATTGATTGTTAATAGATTTAATATGTTTTATTTTGAATTATTATTTTATAGGGGCAAAATTGTCATATTTTGGTTTAATTGTGACTAATTGATTTTTGAGGACAATTAATGCTACCTTATCTTTGAATTTTGTTTGCAGGTTTTTTAGAAGATTTAAAAATAAAAATGAAAAAGAAAAAAAGAAAAAGAAAAAAATATAATGAAAAAAATAATTAAAAAAAAAGGGGAGCAAAACGTTGCGTTTTGCCCCCCAACCTAATATACTATTATTCATCTTCTTCATCCGCGGGGAGACCGAACGAGCTGATACACGCAAGCGGCGCTAGAAAAACAAAGCAACACGCACACACGCAGAAGCGGAGAACAGAGCTGGAGGCGGCGAGAGAAGAGAGAGGTCCTTCCATCGGTCCAGTCCATCATCACCTTCCTCTATTTTCTCCAATCAACAGTGAGAAGAACGGAGGACGAAGCACACAAGCGGAACGCGAGCTGGGCGGCGACTGAGAGAGGGAGAAAACAGAGTGACGGTAGACGCAGACCAGGGGAGCTGACGGTTTTCTCCACTCTTCCTTCGATATCCTCCATGGAAGCTTGCAATTGAGAATTGCTGGTGGCAGCGAATTTGATGGCAAACCGTGGCTAATTTATGATTCTCCAATTCAACAATAATGGCAGGAGCTTGGATCTTTAAGAGGGAGTTCTAGTTGTTTTAATTTCTTACTCAATAATTGTTTAACAATTCTTAGGTCTTAGGATATTTTTTTGATTGTTGGGATAATTATATTGCTTAATCTGATTATATTTTGAGATTATTGTGACTGAATTATAGCTTAGTATTTAACATTGGGCTGTTTATAGTTTTGATCTCAATTATAACGTTGTGGTTATGACATTTGTATT